ATCTGGCCCAGCAGTGCCCTAGGACCGAGATTCCACCTTCCCCTGAAACATCATGTAAGCGCCCAAGTACTCGGGACAGGCGCTCACACCGTAAGAACACCGCTAGTACTTACACTTCTCTTACCTTTTTCTGCAAAACTTTACATGTTGCAAAAGCCCCATAAGGAATCTGAAACGAAGCACAAATGGGTCACGACGATGCACAAGCACAGCGATGTCCCAACACTGGCCATGCCCTTGGAAAGTATGCGCCCGCCGGACCGAACAATCAGCTTTCATTGAAATGCAAATGACACCAAGATCACTGGTCCCCGTCATTAGGCAACAGCAGCTCCCACGTCCCAGCACTTCCTGCACTGCTGTGGCCCTCAACCCGGGGATCTGGGCCGTACGCCAGGTCACAGAGAACGGGCTGCTAGGTGCGGGCAGCTGTCCAAGCCTGGGCTGGCTTAGCAGTCAGTGCGCAGGTCCCCCAGAAGCCCATGCACATGGGTCATTATACAAATGGAGATCCTGGCGTGTCTTTAACCCCGGGCACACACCCTGGCCGAATGGGAAAGGGGAGAGGAGAGGCCTTTACGTATGCTGGCAGCTATACGCAGGGGACAGTCAGAAACCTGGGATCAGTGCACATGTCTAGCCAGTTCCACAGCCCTGTGGCACATTTGTGCAGGGTAATGCTGGGGGCTGGAGCTGCTGATGCTTGGGCCTGTCTTGGGTTTGAGTCTCACAAACCGACAGGGGCTGAAATGTGACGCTGTCTCTCTAAAGGGCACTGCAACTCCTCACTCACTACTACTGCCCTCGCTTTTCAAAATCTGGGCGGCTCCAAGTCTGCGTGGCAGCCTAGATTCGGAGACACAGTTAGGAGCACGGCCTTGCTCTGCAGCTGGACTTGTACTCTCTGGTCTACCTGTACTGGAACCACGTACAGGTGGCGAGATTCCTGGGTTTAGCACTAAGGGCATGAGGCTGAGAACTGCAACCTTTAGCATTTCACAAATACATTTCCTGACAATGAGACACATTCGGCCACGGATTGTTCACTCGGGGTCACAATAAAGTGTCAGGGAGTCTTGACCACCCTGCCCTTCCTGTCTTGCTAATTCTCCTCGTATGGGAAAGGTGAAGAACTACTGTCTTAGGCCACAGAAAAGGCTTCCCAAAAAGGGGCAGAAGCCTCACACTTCAAGAGAGGAGCCAGACTGAGCCAAGAGGGAACGATTCGGCACGGACTAGGGATAACATGGATAAATTAAGACGTTCATCTCTGTCTCTGGACTCTGAATTATGACAACTCTGGAGTTCAGTACTGGGAAGAAAATGAGGCAGCTGGACAGGTCCCCTCACGCCGAGGCTCACAGAGAGAACATACCTCGGAGAGTTCACATTTAGATATATCTAGAATGTCATCAGCACCAGCTTCTTTTGCCTGGAGAGGGAGGGAGAGAGAGAGAGATTTGTGCTGAAGCTCCAGAATGCTTAGAGACAAATGGCCCCTTGCTGCATGTTGGCTAAACTACCCTGCCAACGTCTCTTTAGCAATGTAACCAGCTCTTTGCTATGGCCACCACAATCAAGAGCCAGTATGAGATGCCAAGTGTATTCCACAGCTATACCTGCAGCCTGGTCATGCAACCAAGAAACTAAATTCCACCACAGGCTCTGTGGCTGGGAGTTCAATTTAGCATTCAGAAGGAGGGATACAGGAAAGGAAAAAGCATCACTTCAAAGCTTACCAGGCACATTTGGTATTCAAGGCGCTTCCGGGCCTCATCGCTAGGTTTCCTTTTACGGAAGAATAGCGGCATCTTTTGCTTTTAGCTCCAGACCCGTCTCAGAGGCGGAAAGCGATCAAAGGCAGAAGAGTTAGGAAGTGTATATAACAGGTGTTGACAGGGGGCCTGGGTTAAGGAATTGCACTCTAAGTAAAAAGAAGAAAAAATTATCTCTGGGTTTGTCCTGGTTTAGGCCCCGATTCTGCCAGACGATCCCCTGAAGTTAATGGGGCTCCATACAGGCACAAGGATCACAATGCCCAGCTGGGTACTTATTTTGCATCCAGTTTTCGCGTTTAAGCTCCACCTTTGCCTTGTGCTAGCGCACTACCTTTCTGACATAAGCTTTTTAGCAGGATACTTCTCCAATTGTAAACAACTAATATTTTCACTTCGAACATCTAGCAGTTTAAAACCCCTTTTCAGTTGGCAGACTTTTCAAGATCTAATCATTTATGTTTCCAATGGTTTAAGAGCAGATAATGCAGACATGCTGACCTACATTAATGCAGAGGCGCCTAAACTTTGCCCATGAAAGTAGAGCTGACTGCATCATTTTAATCATAAGCAGTGGAATGGGCAGCATAGATGACAAATTCATAGAATCCTAGAACACTAGAACTGGAAGGGACCTCGAGAGATCATCAAGTCCAGTCCCCTGCCCATAGGGCAGGACCAAGCACCATCTAATCATCCCTGGCAGGTGTCTGTCCAACCTGCTCTTAAACGTCTCCAGGGATGGGGATTCCACAACTTCCCTGGGCAATTTATTCTCGTGTTTAACCACCCTGACAAGTAGGAAGTTTTTCCTAATGTCCAACCTGCAGGGCCCTGAACACAAGCCTCTCAGCTCAAGCTGGAGCACTGATGCTGACTCCTGTGGTTTTTTGCAGACAGTCTTGCCATATTAAACACTAGGGTGCCTTTCTTATGGATTCTGTGGGACACATCTGGCCATGCCTGAATTAACCAGTAACCCTGCAAACAACATGCAGTAACCGCAGCAGTAAGATGAGCGTTTGGTTCGCACACCCTATCTTCAGAAATGAAGCCTGCATGAACTAACAAGCACTGAGGGTCACCACTGTTGGGCGATCAGGTACCCACCCCCCAAAGAGCTGTGGAATACAGGGTTGCAACGCGTAACTGAATAGTTCTCTCTCAGAAGAGCTGAGCGTGGAACTGGGTGTGACTGACACCGTGCTGTGTGAACACGGCAGACAATGAGGGAGCATCACAGCACCAGACATTAAGATATATAATATGAAAAACACAGTAATGACATGACATTTATGAACAATGTGGCAGCTTTCATTTCCTTGGAATAACCTCAAAATGGAGCAGTCCAGCAATCACAACGAAACAAGGAGCAGACAGCACCAGAAGCAGAACGAGAGAATTAGGAATATAGTGCCAATCCAAATCTGGCCGTCTTAATGGAAGATAAGTCTTTGTGGAGTGTTTTGTTTTTTAATTGGTGCTCTTTTAACATACTCTAGTGCTCCCAAGCTTTGAAGCTGGTGATTTTCAGCCAGGAGATAGCACATTGCTGACCCAAAGGCTTTTTGGTTTCTGCGTGAAAAACCACCCAAACATGGCTGAGTTACAAGCCTTTGAGAAAAATCCCAATTCACACAGGGCTGAGCACGCTCCAACGTCTCACAACTTTCACCTGTCACTGTGAACAGATTGCCCTTAAAGCCTCCTCACAAAGCAACTGACCAATTCAGGGCTAGAGGGGAAAAGCCGGACTTTATCTGCAGCTCCTGCTCCAGATGAGGGTGGAACGTAGCACTGGAATTGAGAGCCAGGAGCCTGTGTCTCCTGTGTTCCTAAAGACCCCCTTGCTCCTCCGGCTGGCACCCAGGCCGTGTAAAGGAGGAAGATGCCTGATCCAAACACAGAAGGGACAAAAGCTGGGCCCCAGTGGTGGGAAAGGAGTCAACTGGGTCAAGGAGTCAGGGAGACTGAGACTGGGTGGGGAATAGATTGTGACAGGAAGTTAGGGTGAGCCTAGAACTGGCTGAGCAAGGAGCTCAATTGAGTCAGGCAAGGAGGGGAGGCTAGGACTGGTTGGGCAGGGAGGCAGGCACTGGGACTGGGAGGGGCGGCTGGAACTGGGTGCACAAGGAGCCTGGCTGGAGGTGCCAGGGGATGGAGAGGAAAATGGAACCAAGAGTCAGTGAAGAAAACAGAGGGTGGGAAATCTGGAAGCCAGTTCATCTGGCGGGTGGAACTGAGATCAAACGAGGACCACTAACTGTGGTAACCTACCATTTAAATCAACTTTTGTACCAGATGACTGGAGGCAGGGATGTTAATGGTTTACTGGTAAGCATCTCCCTTGCTGGGTGATGTCCCCAGTTAACCTGTGGCCTGCCTGGACTGCAGCAGAGCCCTGCCCGACAGGGCACACTGCACTGTGGGTAAGGGATGCTCCAGCCCAACCAGGATAGCCCCCACCTACGGCAGGCCCAGTCTGGATGGAGTAGCATGCCACGGATGAGAGCGCTCCAGCCAGGATGGAGCAAACCCGGCCCACATGGGGCCCCAGCCCGGCCAGAGCAGCAGCGCTGCTTCGCAGGTGGGGGACATTCCAGCCAGGCTGAAGCAGCCCCCCCCCCCCACATCAGACGTCATCTGATTAAACAGGATTTTACATCCTGAACTGGACGATAGCTAATGTGACACCAATTTTTTAAAAAAAGGTTCAGGGGCAATCCCTGCAATTCAGTACCAGCAAACCGGTTGAAACTAAAGTAAGGAACAGAATGATCAGACACCTGTATGAACAGAATCGGTTGGGGGAGTGTGTTCAATAACTGGTTAAAGACAGGGAACAAAGAGCAGAATTAGGGATGCAAAAGTGTCGTCGATTAACTGATAAGCAAAAGCGTATAGGTTAATGCTATCGACTCCATGCATTCCCCCACCCCGCCACCTGCCATCAGTACATTTTTTTAGCAGGCTGGCCAGCAGTCCAGCTTAGTTCTAGCTCATGCCAGGACTGGGACCCACCCCCGCCGCGGTTCTGCATTTAAAGTGTATTAGGAGCCAGGCAGGCAGGCACGGTCCAGGAGTTCAGCCCTACCCCAGACAGG